TCATGGAGTTTACCTTATACAAACCTAGGTGGCACAGCCTACTACACCCCTAGGCTCTATGATATAGCCTTTTGCTCCCAGGCTGCAAACCTATGCAGCCTATTACTGCACTGAATACTGCTGCTAACTGTAATACAATGATAAGAATTTATGTATCCAAACAGAAAAGATACAGAAAAAATTTTTTATAAGACCACTGTTGTATATGCCATCTGTTGTTGACCAAAAATGTCATTATGTGGCACATAACTGTACGTGTATATTCTTTATTCCACCCTCTATGTAATAATTATTGTGGTTGTATAATGTATTCTAGCCTTTCATGTAGCAGAATCTTCCTCATTGTAGGAACATTCCTCAAACCCTGAAGTTTCTTGAATATTCTGGAATCACTCCTTCACATTCTCAGAGCACACTCTATTGAGATGAAAATTTGAGTCTCTGACTTAATCCCTGCAGAGTGGACTTCTTTATTATACAGTTCCTTCTCCCTCCCCTCAACAAAATTGGAGACACTTCTCCACTTGACCAATTGTTTGGTCACATCCCTCAGAATATTTTCTCATGATAATCCAGAGTTGTTTATATACCAGTTTCAGTTTTCTCCCAGCTGACCTAATTGGACACTGTCTATACCAGGCACTTGACAAGATAGGGATTTATTAATTATAGGATTGGTAATGAAGAATTAAGAGTTGGGGACTATCTCATCTTTAGCTTCTTGCCTTAGGTCCCCAATATGTGATTTTTAAAAGGGATTTTCTCTTCTTTGGAATGGATCTGAATTTAGTATGAATGGTCTTTCTTGCCTGCATCTTTCCTGTTTTGGTCTCTAGCAAGGACATCTTGGTTAGAGAAGATCCTAGAGAAAGAAGTGTGAGGTTCCAGGGCACCGTCTGGACAGGGCACTGTCAACAGTGATCTTAATCTCTGGCCAGCCTCAGGGCACTTGGAGTATTCCTCTCCAGCCCCTAGTCCATCAAAATGGGCCAGCTCTTCACTAGTCAATCTTCTCTGAGGCCATTTCAAGAGTCAGGGCTCATCACTATATATTTTTTTCTGCTAAGTTGCATTCAAAGGAGTGCAAGACTCAATTACTAGCTGCTTTTTCAAAGACGAGCTTAATAAATCACAGCCTACTTTTGGCTTGATCTTGCTGACCATTACAAACCTATCATTTGATTAAACTAAAATATATTAAGTATTTGTATTCTAAACGTGCCCAATATGAATTTTGCCCATCATTTTTTCCAACCGGAGGGAAACAGAGCAATATTCTTTGGGAAAATTCTTACGCGCAAGCTAGTGCAAGCTTTATTCTTCGCTCCTGTTTCAAGGTTAGATAACCTCAAACAACCTCAAATCACTTTGATTTCAGCCAGTAATGTTTCAGCAGTGTTTTTTCTTTGTCTCTCTCTCTCTCTCTCTTTTTTTTTTTTTTTTTTTTAAGAGACAGGGTCTTGCTCTGTCACCTAGGCTGGAGTGTACTAGTACCATCATAGCTCACTGCAGCCTTAAATGCCTGGGCTCAAGCAATCCTCTCGCCTCAACCTCCTGAGTGGCTAGTACTATAGGTGTGTGCCATTGCACCCGATTAATTAAAAAAAATTTTTTTCTTTTTTTATAGACAGGGTCTTACTATGTTGCCCAGGCTGGTCTCTAACTCCTGGTCTCCTGTAATTCTCCCACCTTGGCCTCCCAAAGTGCTGGGATTACAGGTGTGAGCCACCATCCCTAGCCAATGTTTTCTTTTTACATTTGGATTCTATATGTTTCAAGTCTATTTTAAGATATATTTTCCAGCCCTGTTGAGAATGTTTTTTTCTGTTGTATTTCTAAGTAGTTGTTGTCCATATTTCCTCTTGTGATTTCCACACAAGCACGTGAATAAGACAATTACTTGGGAAGCTTTATAAAAATTCACAGGCTTGTGGCTCCTTCCTTCTGTGATTCAAGTATGTCTTGGAGTGGGAACAAGGAGAGCTGGTTATCCAGGGTACATGAAGGACTCATCAGAAGTTTCTCACCATCACTTCAGTTTGATTCTGCCTGGCCAGACAATTTCCAAATACTGGTAAGCAGTGGAAGAGGATTGTTATTTTATTTCTGACTTTAATGACAGTGCCTCTCAGTTTCCTTCTTAGGGATGTATGCCATAAAGGGTTAACTCATCATGTGTAGGGTGTTCAAACTTTGCACGTTCTAAAGAAACTGATCCTTGACTGCTGCCTGGGAGGTAGCTTCCTGGCCTTGGAATATCCTCCCTGGTAAGAGTGCCTTTGAATACATGAGACCTTGAGCCATGCCTGATAATTTATGGTAGTAACATTGTGAGTTATGATGGGGGCCTTGGGCTACAACACATCAGCTTGCCCTCTGGAGGAGCTAGAGACTGGGACACTAAGGTCAATTCCACAAGTGATCCATGCCTACATGACCAACCTCCAGTAAAAGCCCTGGACACCAAGGCTCAGGTGAGCTTCTTTGGTTGGTAGTACTTCACCAGTGTTGCACACATTGCTACTGGGAGGAGTAAACACTGTACAACTCTACTGGGAGATGACAGCTGGAAGCTTGTCCTGGTCTCTCCTTGTCTGTGCCCTATGCGCCTCTTCTCTTTGCTGATTTTATTCTGCATCCTTTCACTGTAATAAACCATAGTTGGGAGTATAACAAGTTTTAAGAGTTTTGTGAGTCCTTCTAGCAAATTGTTACACTTTGAGAATATTCTGACATACTCTTTACTCAAGATGGCAAGAACCTTTTATTTCAGAAGAATTCGTAAAGGAACTAATGATCTCTCTCTAGTATGCCAAGTTGTGTCTTTTTTTAAACAAAATTTGAAGTAGATGTTAAATTTTATCAGACATTTTTATTATCCCTAAAGATGCTTGCCTGGTATTTGTTTTATTTATATGATAACATATATTAACTGATTTCCTAATGTTGATTTTTTTCATTCTTGAAATTACTCACACTTGATTATACCTATTGTAGTGTTTTTTTTTTTTTTTTTTTTTTTTTTGGGAGACGGAGTTCCGCTCTGTAGCCCAGGCTGGAGTGCAGTGGCCGGATCTCCAGCTCACTGCCAAGCCTCCGCCTCGCCAGGTTCATGCGCCCATTCTCCGGCCTCAGCCTCCCGAGTAGCTGGGACTACAGGCGCCCGCCACCTCGCCCGGCTAGTTTTTTTTGTATTTCTTAGTTGAGACGGGGTACTATATGTTTTATACATGGGTAAATCTTTTAACCACTATAATTTTAAAATTTAAGCAAATTTTCTAAAATATGATATTTCCTGACTTCTTAAACAGAACACTGCATTCCACTTAACACTGTCTTGACTCATTACCCCAGTTTTGGACATTGTGGTGTGTAGTGGGCTTCAGGTCCCATTTGAGTTTGAGCAACTTCTTACTCTGTATTAAATGCTCCACAGACTATTCTTTGCTTGGGGTTCTTGGGATTGATTTCTTTTGTTTTTCTTATGCTTTCAAGTCCTACTTCTTATAATTCATTGGTTGCCTTCCTGTAATAGTCCCTCTCTTCTCTTTACTTAGCTCCTTTTTAATGGTTGTGGGCTTACAGGCTATATAATTAGGCTTGTTATACAGTGATTTCCAAAATGACAGTAAATAAGCTCTGAGTAAGCTTGGGGCCCTATTCTCTAGATGAAAGGCATCTGTTTTATTTCATAGATTTTTAAAATATCCAGTTAGGAATTTTAGAGATATTTTTCTCCCTTTTTAGTGGTTGGCTATTCCAAAGAATTAAATAATAAAATTGGTTAGTTTGTTTGTTTATTCATTTGATGCTCGTTTATTGAGCATCTACACAGTGCTGCATACTGGAGAGTAAACCTCGAATAGGTAAGATGTAGTACATAAATCAGCCTCTGCCTAGCAAATCACATGGGAAAACAATCTTGGGAAAACTTCGTTGTGGAAATTTTGATGAAAACATTTTGAGTTTTATTCTCTTTGGTAATACATTTAATTTAGGATTTTTTAAAAAAAAATTTTGTAAACGAAATACTGTCATTGGCTAGACATCTAGGAACTTGACTGTCAGAGTACACCCAATTAACACTTAGCTGATAAGGGTAGTTCACTGTGCCTCAACTGTTTGAGCAGACAGTCTGGTTTATGCTGAACACAGCTGCTTTCCTTCTGGGAATCTGGAATTTTTATACATTTTAGATAGAGGTTGCCTACATGACCAGCCCCTCTGGCCATTAAGTACTCAGTAGACTTCCTTGGGCAGAAACATCACACACATGTGCTGCATTTTCGTTGCTGGGGGAAGAGTGTGCTGTGTGTGACCCCTCATGGAAGACAGAGGACATAAGGAAACTGGCACATGACATCCTGTAGTCCTCTGCGTGCATCCTTTCCCATGTGATTCAGAGGTGGCCTTACAATGCTGCTGTGCTACATCTTAGCCATGCTGAGTCCTGTGAATTCTCTAGCGAGTCTCTGTGAGGATGTTCTTGGAGACCTTTAACACAAACGCCTAGTGTTTATTGATCTCTTACTATATGCCCAGCTCAGTACTAATTGTTTTACATGGATTATCTCACTGAATCTTCCCAACAGCAATATTTTTTGAAGTAAGTGAGTATCATTATCAGCATTGGAGAGTGAAGTTGTTTCAAACTTCATGAGGTTAAGTAATACATTTATTTCAGTGTCTGTATATGTTTCAGATGTTTGTACCTTATGGTATATTATTTCTATTGTTCAGAGTAGCATTTAAGTGAGGACAACTACTGAGTTCTTTTTCTTTTGTCTTTCTATATTTGGTTGATTCTCTTATTTCAATAGAGCATATTTGCCAGTAACTTTCTGAGAAGGGGCACATGAGAGGTAAATTACTTAAATCTTTATTAGTGTGTAAAATATCTTTCTGTCTCAAGCTAAATCGATAGTTTTGCTGGATATAGAATTCGAGGTTGGACAGAATTTTTCCTACTGAATACTTTTTAAATATCTTTATCATTTCAGGTATGAGCACATTCTTATAGAACCTGACCCGGTACCAGCCTATGCTCTGAAACTGCTAGTTGCGATGACTGAACACAACCCAACTTTCACAAGGTACTGGAAGTTCAAATTTCTTTTTCTTGTGTCTCACCTATAAAATGAATTTTATGTGTTCTGAAAATGTTATTAAAGATGAGATTCCAAAAGACTAATGTTTGAGTTGTCAAAATCGTCATTTTTTAAATGTTTCATGGATTGTAATATCTGTCATTTATGCTGTTTTGACTCTCGTAGAAGTTTTAATTCTTATTAGAGTCGGCATACTGTGGAATGCATGCTGCTTTAAAATGGTAACTTCTCTTAAGAGATAAAACAATATATGTACTTTAAAATTGGTGCCTCATTTTGTACTGAGCAGTTTATTAAATCTCAATAGTATTTATCGACTATTATTTGCTACCATTTTATTTAGTTGACATGCTTTTTTTTTTGAGATGGAGTCTTACTCTATGTCACCCAGGCTGGAGTGCAGTGGTGCCATCTCAGCTCACTGGAACCCCGCCTCTGGGTTTCAAGCGGATTCTCTGCCTTGCAGGCTCCCGAGTGGAGCTGGGATTACAAGGCACCGCCACCATGGCCCCAGCTTTTTTGTGTTTTTAGTAGAGATGGGGTTTCACCATGTGGCAGGGCCTGGTTCTTGACTCCTGACCTTCAGAGTGATCCACCCCCTTCCTCAAAGTTGGCGTGGGATTACAGCATGAGCACCCCACTTGGCCGACTACATATTAATTATGTGTGTGATGATTATTAATATTATTATATATATTTTTTTTTTTTTTAAGTGGTAGGAGCTTTATATTGTATTGAAAGGTATGGAATATTGAGATGCAAATTTCTTTTTTAGAACTGATGCTGGGTATGTTTTTAGTTTTGTGAAGAATAGTTTGTCTGAGAGGTCCACAGAAGGGAAAGAAAGGAGAAAGGAAGAGGTTCTTTTTGCTTTCAAACAAGAAAACTACTTTTCTTGTACAGGTGGTGTCTGAGGACCTTTTGGGATTTGAATACCATCTGTAGGTACAGTGCATCTCCAGAGCTACCAGTTGGTCCTTAACAAAGAACTAAATCACATAGCCCCTACCATCTTGATTTCCTCTGGTCTGCTGTCCAGTCACAGAAAGTACTGCATTATTATGAGTCACTGTGACTGTTGTTACTAGCAAACAAGAAAAGCTGTTATTAGAAAGTGCTCATATCCAAAACACTCATCCCAGTGGGTGTGTCAGGACACATAGATTTGCTGTGACTGAGTCACAGGAGACAAGTTGCTCTTGGTCTTTTGGGTTTGGGTTATGGGGCTGTAGTAGTTCTTGAGCCTATTACCTTCCCTTATCCATTTCCAAAGGATGCCATGTAAATACTACCCTCTGTTCTCTGAGCCATGTTGCAAAATAATCTGGGGAGCACTAAACTAATACTCTTTTTATCTTTGCCAATTGGAAGCGCAGTGTTTGCTTCAGTGTTTCTATAGCCTTTTAGAGAGCCTGAGCAATGAGCCTTCCAAATTCATCACTCAGAAGGGATCATTCTCCATTCCTGAAGAAGAAATTTAATTCTAAAGACTGAATCTGTATTAGAAGTTGCATAAAAATTCAGATAGTTATTTCTTGCCTGGACTTTTGACATAATGTGCTAATACTGTATCCTAATTTTATCCTTTCATTAGATTGAACAGATTGCAATTACTTTTTTAACTGTAACTTTGGCTCATTCACGTGTCAAGTTTTCTAGACTCCTTTTCCTTCTTGCCAACTCTATTCAGCTTAATTTCCTCATATTGAGGAGAGAAACCCTAGAGAAGTAGAAACAGTTCTTTGGCCTCTATAGAATCTTTTTATCTTAAAAGTGATTAGAGACTAGGTTTAGAAGTCCATTTACTCTAGTTTTTAAAAAAAGTTTACAAGCAGACTTTAGTGGAATAGTTTTTGTATTTTTTTGTTTTGATCGAACAAGTAATATTTGAATATACTGTTTTTGCCTTAAATTCTTTTTTTTTTTTTTTTTTTTTTTTTTGAGACGGAGTCTCGCTCTGTCGCCCAGGCTGGAGTGCAATGGCCGGATCTCAGCTCACTACAAGCTCCGCCTCCCGGGTTTACGCCATTCTCCTGCCTCAGCCTCCCGAGTAGCTGGGACTACAGGCACTCGCCACCTCGCCCGGCTAGTTTTTTTTTTTATATTTTTTAGTAGAGAGGGGGTTTCACCGTGTTAGCCAGGATGGTCTCGATCTCCTGACCTCGTGATCCGCCCGTCTCGGCCTCCCAAAGTGCTGGGATTACAGGCTTGAGCCACCGCGCCCGGCCTTGCCTTAAATTCTAACAATAAAATCAAGAGATCTTCTTGGCTTCTCCATCCCCCACACCCTCTGCCTCACAGGTTTCTCCCTTAGGGGTAGTAATTGTTACTATTTTGGTGTATGTCCTCCTGAATTTTTTCTGGCTACTTAAATTCTGTCTGTCTGTCTGTCTGTCTGTCTCTCTCTGCCTGCCTGCCTGCCTATCTGTATGTATGTATATGAGTATATATATATGAGTATACACACACATATGTGTATACACCTGTGTATATGCCTCCTGGGTTCAAGCTATCCTCCTGCCTCAGCCTCCTGAGTAGCTGGGATTACAGGCATGAGTCACCACACCCGGCTAATTTGTTTTGTATTTTTTAGTAGAGACAGGGTTTCTCCACGTTGGTCAGGCTGGTCTCAAACTCCCAACCTCAGGTGATCCGCCTGCCTCAGCCTCCCAGACTGCTGGAATTACAGACGTTCGCTGCCACGCTTGGCCTCTTTTCTTTCTTTTATACACAACTAGCATGTTATGTATGTTTTTCTGCCCTTTGATTTTTTTCACTTAACTGTCTATCCTCTAGATTTGCTTCTGTATCAATACATAGAGAGCTTCTACATTGTGTTTTACAGTGGTAAGATCTTCCATTGCATGGATATAACTTTTCTAGTGTCTAATGGATAGACTTGTTTCTAATCTCGTGTAATTGCAAATAATGAATACTCTCATAAATGTGTAATTTTGTATGCATGAATGTATATCTTATAGGATACTTCCTATAAATGTATTGAGTATCGAAGGAGAAATACATTGTACTTTTTTTTATATGGCCAAATTTTTTTCCCTTGGGTTTACCATTTTACACCTCCAAAGGACATATCTGAGGATGCTTACTTCTCTACAAGTCTTGCCATCAAAACTCATTAAACTTTGCAATGTTGCCATTGTGACAGGTGAAATGAGTTATTTCAGAGTAATTTTAACATGTATTTCTCTTATGAGTGAGAATGACTGCCCCTTCATATGGTCAAGGAATGCGTATGTATCTTTTTCTTCTTATGCCCTTTGCCAACGGTTCCTTGGTCTGGGCAATGCTACTTTTCAAACCAAATCATCTTCTCTTGGCTTACCATTGCACAAATACACCACAGTCACCCAATCCATTTTACTTTTAACAAAGTCTGGATTGTTCCATATTTTTGCTGTCATGAAGAGTGCAGCTATGAATATTCCTATGCAGGGGTAAAAATGCTGGGTCTGAGGGCTTGTGGTAATCCAGATCCAACGGATACACTGTACCATAAAGGAGTTTCCCAGGTGGGTTGTACCAATTTGCATTTCTATCAGCATTGTTCAAGAGGCCCCGGCTGTCATGTAAGCTTTAAGTAAATAAATAAACAAACAGGTTTATTGAGATATAATTTACATGGATTAAAATCACTCATTTGAGGTATATAGTTCTATGAGTTTTGAAGAAGGTACACAATTATGTAAACCACCATCACAATTAAGATAAAGAGGGTTTCTATCATTCCAAAACGTTCGCTTGTGCGCCTTTGAATGTTACCTCATAAAAATTCTGTTTGCTTGGGGAACATGACCACATTGATTTTCTATTTCATTTTAATTTTAAACATTTATTTTTCAGAGTTAATACATAACATGTTCGGAACTTCAGTATTTGAAAGGGTACACAAAGAAAAGCAATCCTTCCTCCAGAGAGAACCACTGCCGCCAGTTTGTGTGTGTGTGTGTGTGTGTGTGTGTGTGTATACTGTTTTTCACATAGACAGTAGCATGCTGTCTATATCATTTCTGGACCTCTTTTAAAAATTAACAGTTTTATTGAAATGTAATTCATATACTATCTGTGCCACTCTTTTAAACAGATACATAGTGTTTCATTTTATCAATATTACATATTGATTTAACAAGTCTCCTTTAGGTGAATATTTGTTCTTTCCTAATCTTTTAGTATTATAAAACAAAGCTACAGTTAATGAAATAGGACATTGATCATGTGTGTGAATATATGTGTACCATAAATGAGACTTGGAATTGCTTATCAAAAGAGATTTAAGCAAGCGATTTCCAAACTTGGTTGTACATTAGTATCACTTGGGGAGCTTCTAAAAAATTTGAAGTCCAGGCCATACCCTAGGCCAATTAAATCACAATCTCTAGGGCTAGACACTGGCATCAGTAATTAGACGCTCCCCAGCTGTTAAATGTACAAACAAGTTTGAGAACTACTGGTCTAAGTATTTGTAATTTTGAGAGATGTTGCCAAATTTTCCCCAATCTAAGTTGTGCCAGTTTCCTCTCCACCATCTGTGTACAAGTGCCTATTAATTCAAAACCTTTATCAAATTAGTGTATATGTGATCTTCGCCATTCCCTTATTGTGACGATTAAGTCTTTGATGTTAATTTCTACTTTTATTGCATTGTGATCAGGTAATATTTTTTGTTCTATTTCTGTCTTATTATTTGCTTTGGCCTAATATATGGTGAATTTCTATGAATGCTCTGTTTATGTGCTTACTGTAACCAAAAAAATTAGTCTTTGTGCTAGGGAATGTCACCCCTGATTTTGGCAAGTGCCTAAAATGGCACTCATTAACCTTAGAGATCCTCCCCAGTTATTTGGTATCAGTAGTGTTTTTTTTTTTTTTTTAATGAAACGGAGTCTCGCTTTGTCACCCAGGCTGCGGTGCAGTGGTGCGATCTCAGCTCACTGCAACCTCCACTTCCCAGGTTCAAGTAATTCTCT